GCAAAGGCAGACGGACGAGTGGGAGGGGGTTGCGCCGGTCGCCAGCAGTGAAGCGGGCGGGCGGGCCGGCAGTGAACACAGCCGCGAGGACCCAGCCACAGTCGTCCTGATAGTAGTCTGCCGTCAGCTATTTTGTCCTAGATTGTTCACTTCTCCTGCCTTCTCCAAACTCTTCCCCCTTTTGTGAATAACCCTGTTGGTGTTTTGGAATCCCACAAGAAGGTTTGCATCATGGATCAGATAGAGATGAAGAATGGATGTAGGAGCTTGATAGGGATAGCTTGGAACAGATAAAGTAATCTAGGGAGGATGTTTTTTTTAAATTAGGGTCGCTCTGCAAAACCAAGAAAAATGGGACTTATCCCACCTCCGTAGGTCTGATCTAAGAGTCATTAAAAAAGGGAGGAAAGCTTTCATCTTATGGATCTTTCAGGCTAGAAGGGAGGTAAATTCTTAGGTATTTGATAGCGGAGGTTGCCACATGAAGGAAGAAATGCATTTACAAAGATCCAGCATCTCTAAAGGAAGAAATAAACTCAATGCACATGACTTAGTTTTAAGGTTGGTTGGTTTTAAGGTTGGAAAGCAGTTGGAAATCTTCAAATGCCTTCAGTAGGTTCAGAATCGAAACCAGAGTTTGGGATAGATATGCAGTACTTTTTTTTTATTTGAGAGCAAATCACCAGGAGAAATGAGGAAGAAATTTATTAATTATTTCAAAACATATGTATTTCAATGTATCTATTTTTATAACTTATTTCACATCTGAAATTATTGATGTATTTCAGAATGTAACTTATGTATGTATTTCAAGAAGCCAATATTTTGCAAAACCGCTGAGTAAACGTGAGAACATGTTATCATTTTTGTTTTTCTGCATCCACACGAACCCTTACCATTTCATATAATGTTTTGCGGTGTCTCATTTGTTTCTCCATTTTAATATTCCTCCATATTCATATATCCATATTCATATTCCTCTGCATAGTTCCAAAAGGCTACAATGTCGTGTGCTGTTTTCAGTGCGTCAGCATAATTCCTGACACAGTGCACACTTGCTGTTCCTTTCTAATGCTGCTGTGTTGAGCCCTTAGGGCCAGTTCACACCAGCTTCGGTGCGCTCGAGCACGACTTGCTCTTGGAATGCCCTGGGGTGTATCCCAGCCGGCTTTTAGCGTTGACGAGCGGGAGGGGGTGTGGCGGTGCGTTAGTCAATGGCCCTGCAGCCACGCCCCCCGCCCGCAGTGTGATCGCCCGCACAAGAACGCGTGGCACAACAGTTCTGCGCACTGGTCCAGTGCGATCTGAAAAAATAGTGCATGCAGCATTTTTCAAAAATCACTGGACCTGAATTGCCACGCCCCCTCCCACCCCTGAACGCAGAAAGCCAGCCGGTGATTCGCTCCAGCAGGGAATCGTGCTGGAACGCACCGGAGCTGGTGTGAACTGGCTCTGAAAGTAATATTAGAGTCAAAAGTTTTTTAAACTAATGAAATCACTTACAATGAATGCTGCTCGATGTTTAAAAGTTTTAGCTTCCTGCAGAATCATCTGGTCCCTGCAAGGAGTACTGGCTCCTTGCAGGGTACTATGGAGCCACCCTTGTGTCTGTCTCCACAAACACAGCAAAGCAAAGCACTCCCCCACTTCCTGCTTCCATCCTCCTCCAAGTTTGTAGATGGACAGCTGCTGGAGACTGAGCTCTCCCTTGGGATCTTATACTGGATAGGAAGTTCAGGGAATCCGAGCTGAGAGTGCTGGAGTGTGACGTTCGTTCCCGGAACGGGACCTCTCCGGCATCCCTTAGACGGACTGCACAAGAGCATAGGTGGATTCCCTCTACTCGGGGCCCAGTGTGCTCACGTCAGAGAATCAGAGCACATCGGAGATCCGCTTCCTCTCACCTCGGGACGGCAACTGCGGACTGCGCAGGCGCAACTCGGGACTCCGCCCCAACTCGTTTGAGCAGTCGGCATAAAGCCGCTGCTCGCTAATAGATCGGCGTCCTTCTGTTGTTTGTAGCAGGACGCTGACCTACTCAGTTGTCCTTTCCTGACCTCGATCCGGACCCCATCCACTAGGGCTATACTTACCCCTGTTGGGCTCACCACCTCTGGGACACCAGAACCGCAAGTATATGGGCTATGTCCCAGTGGGGATCTTGCTCTGAAGAGTGCTGTATTAATTGAAGTACCACTGTGTGTCTACCATTAACCCTGAAGATGCAATCTGCTATATACTGTTGCTGTGACATTTCATGCCTCAAGCTACTACTACTGTAACCAGTTATTACCCTGCATTTCCAATAATGGAGGCTCTGTATTAGCTACTTGCTGCCTTTGCTATATGACTCTCTAAACTACCTCTAGTACCATAACCCTGCCGTATACAGGTATTGCACTGCAGTGAGTGACTATATGCAGGTATACCCGCACAGTTGCGGACCATCTGAAGCTACCCCCACCACACTACGGGGTATGATGTGATGCAGCTCCCTTTTAGCCTCTAGAAATACAGGGCGTTAGAGACCGAGCTGCCATACTGATCCCCAAACAACTACCATAACATACTTACACTGCAGTTGAGATCCTAGAATTCACCCCGAGGTCAAGGGGGGTATTACATGGAGCTGAATGGAAACAAGATGACTACAAATGCTTAGAAAAAATTTAAAGAAGTACTTTGCTGGGCAATGTATATTTGTTTGATCTGGGTTCATTATTGAAAATAGGATTAAGAGTTTAACCACTTCAAGACCAGGTGTTTAGACCCCCTTCCTGGCCAGGCCATTTTTCAGTATTCAGCGCTGCGGGACTTTGAATTACATTTATTCCGTCATGCAGCGCTGTACTGAAATGAATTTTTTTACCATTTTTTTGGGGACAGATAGAGCTTCATTTCGGTGGTATTTAATCACCACTGGGATTTTTATTTTTTTACTATATTAAGGAAAAATTATTTAAAATTTTGAAAAAAAAAAGTTATTTTTTCATCATATTAGGAAACAATTATTACCCAATTTTTTGGTAAAATATAAAAGACGAGGTCACGTCGGGTAAATAGACACCAAACATGTCAAGCTTTAAAATTGCGCGCACCAGTGAAATCGCAAAAAAAAACGACTACACCCAAAATTGACCATAGGTGGCGCTTTAAAAGCTTTTACCGCTCATCAGTTTAGTGTTATCAGTGATTGATGGCCCTAAAATTATTGCTCTCATTCCGACATTCGCGACGATATGTAACATGTGCGGTGTAATGGGCGCAATCGTCGTTTTCGCACGTATGCGCACCCAACGCCTGTTTGCATGCGTGTATGTATGGGGGGGACTTTAAAAAAAAAATGTTTTTTTTTATATGTAATTTTTAATTTTTGGGGGGAAACTTTCATTTTTTTTCCACTTAACTTTATTGCTATCCCATAGGGGTCTAAGAAACCCGCTTATGTGATAGCAAAAGAAGTGACAGGTCCTCTTTATGGAGACATCAGGGGTCTCCAAGACTCATAATGTCACCTAGGACCCCCTGAAGAAGCTGATGAAGCAGAGATCTGCTTCATCAGCTTCTCCCCAGCATCTGAAGCTGGAGAGTGACACAAGAATGCGGAAGTGATGTGACATACATCAGTTCCGCATTCTGACAGCGGAGAGGGGACCGGAGGGATTTCCTGTACCGATCTCCCTCTGATCCCCTGTCAGAGTGGCACTATGCTGGTCCCAGGCTCGTACCGGGCATCGCAGAGCCCGGGGCCAGCGGGAGGGGGGCGCACTTCACGGGACCTCATACAAGCGATCCGCCGGCTCTATAGCCGTTTTAAAAAAACAGCCATTTCAGGCTGGGCGAGGCTGAGTGGACGTCTAAAGACGCCCGTTCAGATCTAGAGAGCTCCTGGCCGGCTGTTTTTTTACAACGGCCGGCCAGGAAATGGTTAATACTACTTTGATGATTTGAAGGACACAGAAGCAGTGACGTGCAGTGGAGTCCGTTCTCGATGAGGCATTTCCCCTGCCCGCCTCCTCCCCAACCCGGTCACCGAGCTGTGTGGAGGATGGAGAAGGGAGGAGACAGGAAGGAGCCTCCCTGTCCCTCACTTGCTCGTCACCGGTGAGGCATCGAGATCGATGTCCTCACTTGTTTTTTTTGATTGGACAAATGGTGCTTTGGCTTCCAGCCATCCACAGAGCTCAAGCCTCTAACAGCAAACAGAGGCTGTTGCAGCTCTTGCCTCACTAAATCAGGTTACACAAAGCAGTGGGGAAGCCCGCTGCTGTGTAACCTAAAATGGCTATCAAAAGCCAGATATAGCGCCACCTGTAATAAACAGGCTACACAGCTGGGAGGCTTTCCCTGCTGTGTAACCTGCTAGAAGCCAGTCTGAATGGGGAAAACGCTGTCAGCTTCGGATCTGAAGTGGACAGCTTTTTCCTCCATAGTACTAGGTGAGGCTCTGCCTCACCTGGCCACGTCCCTGCACAGAAGTATTCTTGCATTACATAGAAGAATTCTTCTTGAACTAGGACATTTGCTCAAATTGAGACCTGTGAAGATAATCCTTTCCAGAGTCAGGCTTTAACCGCCTTTTGTTACAGAGTCACTTTAAGTCATTAAACATGTTTTTGTGTCCACGACCAACACTTACAACGAAATTAGCTGCTGCTGAGACCAACTTCGACACCCCAGCGCTCATGTCCGGGGTCACCGTTAGGACAATGCATGAAAATACTGGCTCGCGCCAGCAACATGACATCACCACCAGGACGTGTGCAGGCTTCCAATGAGCATGCGCGAGTCTCCGGCCAGCGCCGCATTCTAAACTGCACAGTGCGCAAGCGCATCTCCCCTCCTCCCGTGGGATTACAAGTTCTCGCGAGAGCTCCGTGTTTTATTCCTACGTAATGTGCCGTGCTGCTTATGGCGGCGCTGGTGATAGTGCTGTGAGCTGTTGGGGTGAGTTTGCGTTTATTGCTTGTTTTATCCGTCCGAAAATTTAATTTTGTATCGTGCTAAGGTGTGTGCGGCCTGGGGAAGAGGGAGGTTTGTGATGGGGTTGGTGCGGCACTGGTGGAGTGTATGGATGAGGTGCTTTGTCATCTGCTGCTTCTCAGCTGTGGGCTCTGGGCTGGTTGGCCTCGTGTTAAGTTTCCTCTTAGCATGGTTTAACCGGTTTGTTATTAGGACTTCATACTTGGCATTTTAAGCCATCTCTTCGTGTATCTTCAGGCCTTTTTATGATACGCCTACCTACGGGAGTAAACGGGCGTCAGGGCTGTGCCCGGCCGTATCACACAAAGCAGCAGCGGCTGGACAAAGGCTCACGGTGAGGGGGCGTACTCCGAATGTCGAGGCAACCAATCAGGTGGCGGGTGGAGTTGCTAGTACGCAGCTGTCTGTGTAGGGTGCTAACCGACCGTCTCGTGTAGAGCGGCGCGAAGGTAGATGGGAATAGTAGTTCTTGTTTGCATTGTGCTGCGAGCTTGAGCCGTGGGAAGAGACTACAAGTACCGTCGTTCAGCGCGCTCCTGATGAGGAACGTGCTTCTTGTATGCAGTGATCCATTTTTCCTCAGCTGCTGAGTGTCGCAATAATCTTAACAAGCGAGCTCCCTGATTGAGCGATGAATACCAGATTCTTGGTGGGCTGGTACATCAGCAGAGCGAGGCAGCATGTTATATTTGCTGAGTAGGAGGCGGACACGGCCCTAATTGTAAATGATTTAGTTTTGCCCCTGGGTAGCTTCGTTATTACGTAACTCCTGTGTCCTATGACTCATTGGACAGGAAGGATGAGGGAAGCTATGATGAAATTCCCTTTTTTCTGTTGTGATTGTATGTAGGAAAGCAAATGGAGAAGGTTTGGTGTGTGCCATTCCTGGCAGTATAATAAGCAGAAGCCATGACTGCCTTCCTGCTCCATAGAACTGGTCTTGTTACTGCCATAGTTAAAGGGTTAGTTCACCGTTAAGTCACCTTTCTAAAAAGAAAAAAAAACCTTTCTGAAAAAGGTGCTTAATTTCCAAAAAATACCAGTAGGCCATGCACAGCTGTTCCCCTGCAAACCTTGTAGAGTGGGTGACCCTGCCCCCCCAGCACATGAGTTAAGTGCCTCAGCTAGCTTACAACCTGTACATGTGCAGTGCGCTTTTTTTGTTTTGTTTCACAGCGGCGGATGAGCTCAGCATTTGTGCGTCAAACACATGTGCAGGGTTTTGCTCAGACGCAGTGCTCGTTCCTCCTCTGATTCTAGAAGCTTTACAGATAGGCTGTGGAGAGGCCTACAGGTATACCTTGGGTATTAAAGGAGTCATATTGGGGCAGTAAAATGTACTCTTTCCAATACTTGCCAGTTTGTGACACTGCAGGTGTCATAAGCCGGCTGTATAGTTCGAGTCGGGCGACCACAAACTGCTGATTGCTCAGCTCAATCTTTTCCCTGCAGGGTAGTGACTGTCGGCCACCGCTCCCTGCAGGTATTCTCCCTTCTCTGTTCCTCAAGCACTCATTGGAGGGACAGACGTGGAAGGGGGCGGGCACAGCTGGCACTGGCTCTAGAAATGCTATCAATCAGGCAGTGGGGTGATTCCTGACAATATTGTTGGGCTCTTTTTCGGCTGCAGGCAACTCTACACTGTCTGGTAATAGAGGGCAGTAACCCGCTATATTTTGGGTTTGCGTTCTAGGAGTACATTAGGAAATGTCCACCTTTTGACATGCAAGAGGACTAAAGCAAAAGAAAAAGTTTGGCTTTAGTTCTCTTTTAAGGCTGAACTACAACCACCTATCCTTTACAACCAAGGAAAGTGCCATCCTAACCTCGATTTGGATTGCGGTTGCTATGGTGCTGCTCATGTTATTAACGATGACACCAGCCATGTAAGGGGCTTGAAAGTTCAGTGGAGAGCTGAAATAAACACACTGGCAACCTAAAAGTAACTGTTTTGGGAGACCATTAATTTGTTAGGTCTGCTCTTTAAAACACTGCAGAAGCTGAATGCTTAGGTACTTTTTTTTGGAATGGTGATGTAAAGCTGGCCATACTTTTTTCAATCGATTATAATCGATTATGTCGATTAGTTGTTGCAGCCCTACTTTACAACCATCGCAAGACTCTTGTCTTGTGATGGTTGTAAGGTAATTAAAAAACGTGCGATCTGCTTATCTTGGACAGGCAGATCGTACTTGTTATCATCGCAAGCCCGCCCCGCTGAGGGGTGGGCTTCCGATGACTGCAATGCTTGCGCACACCGGCCCGTGCGGCATTTATCTTACGAGCAGGCCACAAACCCGCCGACAATCGTACGATTGTCTTCTTCGTAAGACAAAAGACGCAAGTACAGTAGAAACGGTCGCACGCCTTCCATACACCTGCCGATTATCGCACGATCACAGGATTTCCCGCGGTTATCGTACGATAATCGGCAGGTGTATGGGCACCTTTAAGGTGAACTAACCCAACTATGCCAGTAGCAAGACCATTTCTAGAGTAGCAGACTTTTTTTTGCGAACGGTGATGTATAGATATTCTAACCCTTTAAGTGTGTGCGCGCATCAGCAAAGATGGCTGTACACCCAAATAGGTTCGACACTTTTTTGGGGGAGAAATATAAGTGCCACCCTATAGAACTAGTAAAGCCATATGTTGCGGTAGTAAGGGCTTAGAACCTTGAAACAGCTGTATGCAAGTTGCTATTACTAGCTCCATCATTAAATTCGTTTAAGTGCAACCAGTCCAAGTACATGAATTTGACCTGTTATGAGTCTATTGTGGTCCATGTACAGCAGGGCTAGAGTGGGAGAAAAAGCAGTCCAAGGAACCAATCAGTTCATGTGCTGATAGGAAGAGAATGTCCAGTCACAGGCTGGGATGAGTCCAGGATGACCTGGGCTCAGAGGAAGTGAGTTGAATGGTGCTGGCTATAGGACATCTAGCAGCAAGAAAGTACTTTGGTGAAATATCTGGAATGAAGGTGAATATTGCAGCAAAAGCTGGTTTTGTTGTTTTTATCTTTGAATGGATTATTCCTTTTTAATCTAATTTTTGGCTGCAGTTTGCTGGAGTTGTCAATTTCCTTGATATTTAGGGTCCTTAAAGTGTATTTTATAATTTTGTAGCCATATTGGGATAACACCTATTTTATTTGTTACATGTTTCTCATTCACATAGCATAACCTAAAAAAAAAGAAGCTACTTTCAAAATACAATCTCTATTTCGATATTTTGAAAGCGAAGTTCTCTGTACTGACTTTATTTATTATCGCAAGGGGGGGGCTGGGCAGGTTAATATAACTGTGTGTGTGTCCGTCCGTCCGTCCGTCCCGATACCACTTTTTCAGGACCAAGTACAATAACTTCCCCTGATGTACACTATAGCAATAGATTTACAGCCAGCCTTGTCCCAGCTTCCCTCACTCAGTTTCACTCCGATACCTGTTGTCTCACGCGGTGCCTCTCGTAGTCGGCGCTGGGCAGGATTGCTGCATCGCATCTCTGTGCTCAGCTTGTGGGAGGCGCTCACAATTCTGCTCTGCTAACATGAATAGTTTAAATCATGATCCATAGTACATATACAGCACGCACATCCATAGTAGAACTACATATTGTACTATTATGTAGTATGGATCTTTTAACCTATTCATATTAGCAGGGGAGAATAGTAAATCTATTGTTGCAGTGTACTGGATGTGTGTAACATACATGTACTACATATAGAGTACACTACAGCAATAGATTTACAATTATCCTCGGCTAACATGAATGGGTTAAATGATCCATAGTACATAACGTACTTGTACTACGGATCATTTAACCTATTAATTTTTAGCAGAGGATATGGGCACACATGACACATGCCGGCCTGGTTAAACATGAGATGACCATATACACACCCTGTGCAGGGGAGGGGATCCCTGAGGCTGCAGTGCACAGAAGATGACAGGCCTCTCTACATATGTATGCAGCATGTAAACACACAAAGGAGCCAGCGATCCTGCCCCGCACACCCTCCACCATTACAGCAGTCAGATAGCGCCCAGGCCCGTGCACACAGAGCTTTCTCCTCACCTGACAGAAGCGCTGGCAGTAATCGCTGGCCGCCTGCACGGCCTCGTCTTCCCCTACAGCTGCGCTGTTCGGGAGAGCAGCATTGAGTCAGTGCTGGTCCGGTGGGAGGAGTTCCAGGTGGGGGTCATTTATCTGGCTGGCGACTGCCCGATCGCCTGCCAGCTAAATTAGGACCCCACATGGAGCTTGTCCCACCGGCGATGACTCGCCGCTGCACTCCCGAACAGCAGTCGGAAGGTAAGGGGACGGGGGGAAGTAGCGCAAGCTTCAGCGCTGTGTATCGGGGCATTTTGACAAGTACTTGTCAAAATGCCCTGTATCGGTCCCGTTACCGATGCTAGTACCTGTATCGGGGGCAACACACTCTCACACACACTCTGTCTCTAGTCTTTCTATGGCACGTACATAGTTTCGTGTCACTGGAAATTTAGAGAGAAACTTGCAAAGGCCTGCTACAGATGCATCTAAAAGGTAAGAAACATAATTATACATGCATACACAATCTCCTGCCCTCCAACACAAAACAGATCTTCTTTGCAGTTCCATGCTGAGCTCATGTGTCGTGGTCCCGGGTCCCCCAGAAAAGCAGGGAACATTTAGCGATGTTTGCCTGAAGCCAGGCTAAATGTACAAAAAGATTTTACACGCCTGGCAATAGGAATTCTAGTCCCCCTGGTCTTAAAGTAGGGAATATTGCTACTCAAAATTATATATTAATGATGTGTAAACTTTCACATAGGGGCTTGTAAGCACCTTTGTAATAGTAATAAGATGAAGTGGAAAAAAATAAGTTCTATAAAAAAAAACCTAATAAAATATATAAAAGTGATAAAGTAAAAAATTAAAACTTGCCCTGCTGCCCCTGCCATCTGCATGCAAATAAACGCACA